GATGTTGTCCAAAACCCGTCGTGTTTCGGAGTTTGGTCGACGAGGTCGTCTAAGACGTTCTTGAGGTTCTTCGCAAAGGGGTCGGTTTGCGTGTAGCTGCCGGCCGAGTCATTTTTGCAGATCTTGTAGAGAAATGGGCTTTCTTGGGAGGTGGTGATTGGGAAGAGAAAGGAAGAGACGATGAGAATTGGAAGGATTAAGGATGTTAAAACCTGGGTTGATGTGAACCAGTGACTATGATCCATATTATTTTGGTTTTTGGTTGTTTAATTTGTTTTGTGTTTGTTTCCGTTTTTGTGAGGTTTGTTGTTAGATGGGACTTTGGGAGAAGATTTTATAGGCAGACAATACTAATTAATTTTATTTTTTTTATTATTATTATTTTGTATTTTTTTAGAAATAGACTAGGTATGAATTGAAGAATTTTTGTATCAGATACATTGTACCTTTGCACCGTGAATGCGCATATATATTCTTGCTGTAAGAGTTGTATGCAGATTAACTGAAAGATACAAAGATTTTGTTAAGAGATCACTAGGAAACGAAACGAGCGGCTCGAGAGCGCTCGACTCGAATTCGAGCAGCTCAAAGTCGAACTCCAGTCGAGACGGCCCTGCCATTTGCAACCCTAAAAATCAACACCGCATCTTCCGCGGATCAATTGAGATAAACAACGTTATACTAATGATTAAATTTTAGCAACTTGATTTCAACCTTTTGAATTGAAAAAAAATAATTCTAGCTAGCTCTAGATAGCATGATTAATATTGGATACGTTAAAACTAAAAATAGCAAAATATCAATCTGTATATAAATCTTTATTGGGTTATTACTCCATGGGGGGTTTCACCATTCTCTTTGAGAAGAGCTTCCATTAGGGTTTATTACTTCTTGGGGGGTGCCTTTGTCTCTTTCCTTTTAGCTTCCATTACCTCGCTGGGGGTTCTTTTCTCTTGTTGCTTTTCTTTTTTAGCTCTTCTGGTTTATTATAAGGGGTGAGGTGGTTGGGTTCCCAGTGTCAATTTCCTATGGAGTTGCCAACTCCAAGCAGTAATTTGGGCGCCCAGGATGAGCTCAGTAATAGACTTCGTAAGATAGCTCTTTCTCAATCTGAGATTACGGTGTTGGAAGTCAAGGAGAAGGATATCTGTCTCATTGAGGAGGAATGCCAAACAAGCTTGTTTGGGAAAGTCATAGGAGATCGCAAAGCGCACCTGTCGGGTATCAAGCGTACGATGGGGCTTATATGGCAAATTCAGAATCCTTTGGAAGTTCGTGAATTAAAGACAAATTTCTTCCAATTTATTTTTGGAAGTCTGGAGGATAAGAGGAAAGTAGCAGCTGGAATCCATTGGTTTTTTGAAAACCAGTATCTAGTGCTCAAAGAGTGGGAAGAGGGCCTAAATGAATCTCACCCTGCCTTCAATGAACTGAAAATGTGGATACAAGTAAGCAATCTCCCTCTAAACTGGTTGTGCACAGATGTGGGAATCATAATAGGGCAGATGTTCTTAAAAACCATCAACGTTGTGGTGGTTAGGGCGGGTGGAAATAGAGGTAGTTTCCTCCGAATTTTGGTTGTTGTGGATGTGGCTAAACCTCTCCCCAGAGTGGTGAACCTCAAATTAAACAATCAGCAAATCACAGCCTTAATTCAATATGAAAAGCTGGTGAACCTATGCCATTACTGTGGGATAATCGGTCATCTAGAAAGATCCTGTCAAAAGAGGATGAATGATATCGAAAATAAAACTCAGGTGGAAGGACAATTTGGTGAATGGATGAAAGCACCGGAGGGTAATTATGGGCCAAGATCTTTATCGTCCCAGGGTCATACTAGCAAATCTAATGAATCCCCTGAAATAAACTGCACTCAACACCAGAATGAAGAGCACCCTCAGCAATTGAATATCTCTTCCGAAAGCAGGATTCCGATGGTTGGGGAAAATGAGATCCATAAGCAGGTGAATAGGGAGGATTCTCAAAATCCCACAGACCCAGTAAGGGGTGATACTAATCAAAAACTAGAGGTGATCAACAGCAAGCCAATCTCTACTGATCTCATGGACCACCAGTTTATAGCAGAGAAGGGCATATCTTATTATCATCAAAGGGTGAGTATTCCTGAAAACGGCTATCCTAACAACTCTGGCATGATGGAGGAAAATGAGGGAGTTGATAAGGCTAATCAGTGTCTGGGCAAGAAGAAGGGATGGAAGAGAAAAGGAGGCCTAGAAAATAGGCAGAATGAAGGGCAAGCAAGCCAGGAGACACTTAGGGAGGCTACACTTACTAAAAGAAAAGTGATGATGGATGATGATTCAGAGAATATTGAGACAGAGGATCTTTCAGATACTTCCCATATATCCAAAAAATTGAAAAATGTGATTAATGAGGTGGAGGAAGCCAGCCTAAATTGGCCCCAAGTTTCCAAATGAAGACGATCATGTGGAACTGTAGAGGTTTGGGTGGACCCTCTACAGTTACCCAGATTAAGGATTCTTCTAGAATCCACCATCCTTGTTTTATTTTTTTATCTGAAACAAAAAAAAAGAGAGATTTTGTAAAAACAGTGTGTCATAAGATGGGATTCAAGAACAGATGGTTTGCTGTGGATCCTGTGGGAATTAGTGGAGGTCTTTTGTTGCTGTGGGATAGGAAGGTAAAGGTGTTGCAAATTATGGGTAATCAGTTTTCCATAGAAGTTGAGGTTGAGGGTATGGCTGGAGGTACTTCCTTTTGGATCATTTTCACTTATATGAGTACTGATAGCAAAGTAAGAGAGGAGCAGTGGGATAGCTTGATTAATGCAAAACAGAAATGGGGAATTTCTTGGCTTATTGGAGGGGACTGGAACACCATATGTGATGTGGAGGAAAAAAGAGGGGGGAGAAAGAAGACTGAGCAGGAGCTTAAGGGGTTCAAAGAATTCATTGCTGACATGGAAATGCAGGAGGTGCAAATGGTTGGCCACCAATTTACTTGGAGTAATAACAGAGTGGGCGAGGGTTTTATAGAAGAGAAAATTGATAGGATCTTTGGATCCTTCCATTGGCTTGCTGCTCACCCAAATGCCAAGGTGGAAACAAATTTCAGGACTTCATCGGATCACAGAATGTTAATTCTCTCTTCTCTGGAACCCCAGGGAGTCAGTAAGCCAAATAAACGTTTTTTCTTTGACAAGAGATGGCTGCAGATGACTGGGATCAGAGATACAGTGGAAAAAGCTTGGGCAAATAAAAAAGATGGCACTCCTATGTTCCAAGTTGCTGAAAAAATCAAAGACACCAGATTAGCCCTGCTGAGGTGGAGCAGCTTATTCAAGAAAAACAGAGATAGAACTAAAGAAGAAATCTCAGTTAGGTTGGAAGCTTTGAGCAAACAAGGTGAGGAAAAAAATTGGGAGGAGTGGCATGGGCTCAAAATGCAGATGGATGAGATTATTAAGAAGGAAGAAGAGTACTGGCAACAAAAAGCCAGGGTTTCATGGCTGAAGCATGGGGACTCTAATACTAAATATTTTCATGCCTTAGTCATGCAAAGGAGACATGGTAATGCAATAACCAGATTGTTGAATGAGAGAGGAGAAAGTTGCACATCGACTGAGGAGATGGAGAAGTGTGTATGCAATTTCTATGAGGACCTTTTTGCTTCTGAAGGGTCCAATGGGGGAGAGGAGGTGTTACAGGTCATTCCAACTACCATCACAGAAGAGATGAATTTGGCTCTGATCTCCCCGGTTACAGATGAAGATATTAAGGAAGCTCTCTTTACCATGGACCCGAGTAAAGCTCCTGGGCAAGACGGAATGTCCCCTATTTTTTTTCAAACTTTCTGGGAGGTGGTGAAGGCTGATGTGTGTAAGGCTGTTAAAAGTTTCTTTGAGTCGGGGATGATTTTAAAGAACTGGAATCACACCCTTATCACTCTTGTTCCTAAAACTGTAAATCCAACGACTATGGGTCAATTCCGACCTATTAGTTTGTGTGGAGTATCTTATAAGATCATCTCAAAAATTTTGACTCAGAGACTAAAGAATTGTTTGGATTGCTGCATAAGCATGAACCAGACTGCCTTTATACCTGGTAGATTATTGCTCGATAATGTGGTGCTAGCCCAGGAGACCATACACTATCTTAACAGACATAACTATGGGGTCAAGGGGTTGATGGCTGTAAAACTTGACATGGAAAAAGCATACGACAGAGTGGAATGGCAGAGTATTCAAGGCATAATGTTGAAAATGGGTTTCAGTAGGTGCTTTGTAAAATGGATCTTGGCTTGTGTCTCCTCGGCTGTCTATTCTTTCAACATTAATGGGTGTATGAAGGGGTTTGTGACTGCAACCAGAGGTATTAGGCAGGGGGACCCACTGTCCCCCTATTTGTTCATTATCGTATCTGAGCTTTTCTCTAGGCTGTTGGAAGCTGAAGCCGATAGGGGTCAATTCCATGGTTTGAAAATTTCTAGAGCAGGTCCCCCTATTACACACCTTCTCTTTGCTGATGATGCTTTGGTTTGTTGCAATGCTGATTGTCACCATGCTAATATGATTCTAGCCATTTTGGCAAAGTACAAGAGGTATACAGGGCAAAAAGTTAATCTGGGGAAGTCTTCTATTTTCTTTAGTAGGAGCTCCTCTGAGATGTTAAAGCATAACTTGTGTCAAATATTCCAGGGGATTCAAATTCAGAATTCTACCAGGTATTTAGGCCTCCCCCTGGGAATCGGGAGGGCTAAGAAAGAAGTTTTTGAGTATGTGATTTCAGCTGTTAGATCAAGACTAGTGAACTGGAAAAACAATTTCCTATCTGATGCTGGGAAAGAGGTTCTGATGAAGGCTGTGTTAGATGCTTTACCAGTGTTCACTATGTCTTGTTTCTTATTGCCTATATCAGTGTGCAAAGCTATTGCTGGCCTTTGTGCAACTTTCTGGTGGAGTAAAGGGATGGAGAAGACAAAAGGGTTACATTGGAAATCATGGGAAGCTGTCACTATACCAAAAGCTGCTGGTGGACTTGGTTTTAAAGACCTTACTTTATTCAATGAAAGCTTGATCTTGAAGCAAATTTGGAGAATTATCTCAAACCCCCACCTGTTGGTTAGTAAAGTGTTGAAGGCTAAATATTTCCCAAACTCTAACATCCTGAATGTGAAGAAGGCCTCTACTGCTTCTTGGCTTTGGGGTACTTGGTTATCAGTGAGGGACAAATACAAACATTGCTTCAGGTTGGAAATCAGAGATGGAGCATCCTGTAAAATTTGGGAAGATTCTTGGGTCCCAAAATTGAAGACTGGCATTCCTAAGATGAGAGATGGGTGTGGTAGTAACCTTGTGTGGGTGAGGGAATTGCTTGAACTGGGAGGAAGAAGATGGGACTACCAGTTGGTAGACTCTTTGTTCAACAGGCAAGACAGAGATGCTATTCTCAGCATCAAGACTCTGAATCCTTCTCTCCATGATAAGTGGGTTTGGTCCCTTGATTCCAAAGGGGTTTTTTCAGTTGCAGGAACTTATGCTGGCATCATGAAGCAAAAAATTATGAAGTTGGGATTACCAGAGGGGAGCCAATCTGCTGAAAGAGATCAAAAAGTAAGAAGAAGGAGCTGGAATCTAAAGATAAAAAATAAATTAAAACATTTCCTTTGGAAGTGTTACAGCAAAGCTCTACCAACAAGTGTTCAGTTGCAAGCCAGAGGTATGGATTTGGATCCAATATGCAGTAGTTGTGGTGAGGATTTTGAATCTATTGAACACATTTTTTTCACCTGTAATAGAGCTAAATTAGTATGGAAGTTGGCCCCCATTAGTTGGGATGGAATTGCAGGGGATACAATTTGTTTCAGGAATTGGTGGTGGGCTGTTTGTTCATTGGACAGATCCTCAGTCTCCCAAGATAGAATACAACTTACCACATACATATTGTGGTGGTTGTGGAAATCAAGAAATTTGTGGAAATTTCAGAATTGTAGAATGCCAGAGCAGGAGGTTATTAAGATAGCTGTGAAAGATTGGTCTGAATTTTCAGCTGCCAGAGAGTTGTAATCTTTGTTTGTTGACAGAGTTAGTGCTGGCTAGGTCCTGTCATTGGGTTCAGTGGTTTGGCTAAACTCTGTTTTCCTTCTCCTATTTTTTTCTTCTGTCTGGTTTTCTTTGGTGCTTTGTTTTGCTTCATCTGAAGGGTTCAGCAGACATGTGCTGCCTTTGGTTGGGTTTAGTTTGTCTTTATGTAGTGGTTGTGATCTCCTTTGTGGTCTCTCTGTAATTTCTTTTTTTTCCTACCTGTGTATTGGTTTAGATTTTTTCTTTGCTCTTGTTAGGTTTTGGCTTTTTGTAGGGCATCTGAGTATGGCCCTCTAGGTGGCTCCTGTATTGTGTTTTGATCTTTGGATCAATCATTTGTAAACTCTATTTATTTTATTGGTATGAAATCTATCGATTTAAG